GGGGCGCGCCGAAAGGGCAGCATCCTGGCCTTTTTCTCATCAACGCAGTTTCCAGTTTTCTTAAAACTTCTTTATTATAAGTCCCTGTGATCATCCAGCACCCTTTCAGACTATCGATCAAGATTATCTCTTGAATTCAACTGTCCTATTAGATAGAACCCCTTGGAAACCACTGACCAGTTTGGATTTTGGAAAGCACCCTAATGAGACTAAGTGTCATTATGATGAGAACTTTTAAACATTTAAAAATTTTAAACAAGAAATGAGGAAAAGTTGAGTTTAAATTACTAAGTTATTTGACAATTCTTTCAAATTCTAGTAGTTGTTTTTAAAAATTGTCCAAATAAATCTTATTAGATGTGAAGGATAGCTTAATCTAATGTGTACTTTATAATAGGAAAAAGAACATATCTAGAAAAAGCATGTTTAATGGCTTAAATGTGTTTAATGTTTAAATGTGCCTCCATCATTAAGGAAAAAACAAATAGCAATATCCTTAATTTTTTAATTAAAAGATAATTTTACTGGGGGCTCTTACAACTCCTTTAACAATTCATACATCAATTGTATCAAACATGTTTGTACATATGTTGCCATCATTATTTTCTAGACATTTACTTTCTATTGAGCCCTTGGTATGAGCTCCTCTTTTTTCCCTCCCTCGCAATATCCTAAATTTATGGCACACATTGCTTTCCTAAAATACTGCAAATGTAACTCCCACCCACATTTACAGTGTTCTTGCTGTAATCCTTAAAGACAGCAGACCATCAGTTCTCTCTTAACACTGCTGCATGGGTTCTACCTGATAGCCTTGGGTTAACAGTCAAGCTCAAACCCTCTGCACCTTCCAGATCTTACTTTGCTTTGAAAGGACTCCCAGAGTCTCCATTCCAAGTCCCAGCTAGCCTACAGGACAGACGAGAACTGTTCCCATATTTACAGAAGCAGATTGCCTCACATTTATTTCTCCTACAGAAGGGCTACTGGGTTCAAACTGTCAACCTCCCAATAACAGGCCATTGCTTAATCCACATATCACTAGGGCACCTAAATTTTCTATTCAGATGAGCATAATTCTGATTTTGTTGACCCCAGCCTAAACGACTCCTAAGAGAAAAGTCACATTTACTTTCAACACAATTAGCATCTCATGTGTGATGTGATTGATTTCTACCATAAATAACTTGAGCTTTCTAATTTATCAAATTTTTTTTTTTAGCTTTACCTCTGCAAAGGTACTTGCAATATTGGCAAAAATAAGGTTTACAGTGAGGTATCATTTGTGTGCAATTTACATATGACTTAGTTCTAAAATCCCTGCAACTCCTTACTTCTATAAAATGTTTCTCACCACATAATGCAGAGATAGTATGTCTAAAATACAGTCTAAAGGCTTAAAATAATACTTAACATTATTGCAGTGTGACTTATCCATCCTTTGGGAAAACTTACCCCCCCCCCACTTTTCACCCCCTTGGGAGCTAATACAGATATCATATCAGTCCATAGTTCAATCACATCAAGCAGTACTGTACAATTGCTACCACAATCAGTTTCCAAACATCTCTGTTCTTGAACTCCTTAATATTAGCTCCGCTTTACCATCCCCCTCCCCAACTGTACCCCCCAAGAACCTTTAATCTACTTGCTGTTTCTATAGGTTCATCAATTCTGGGTTTCATATACCAAAAAACAGGAAAACATTTTTAAAAATTCAAGAGGGTCACCCCCAATGACAAAATACATCTGAGATAATATGAAATGAGGCAGTGCACCACAGAAAACGCTGAAAACCAGATCAGGCCCAACATGCATCAGAGGAGAGATCAACTCAAGATTTTAACCGTTCAAGTCAGGTTTATCATTTTGATCCCCTATCGCCATCTCTCCAATGCACTCTGTTTGGTAACCAGTTTCTTCCCCTCCCTCTATTACAGATAAAGGGAAATCACCAGAGGCTTACTCCCTGTGTAGATCCTGCAAATACACTTTGGGCTTCCACTGTCATCCATAGCCTTCTGGCAAACAAGAATCTCACAGTTTAGGCCCTGATACCATTCCCTCCTTCAGCTTTGGATGATATGATTTATAATCCTTTGGTCACTGACATTGGTGTGCTTCTTCCAGGTGGACTTAGTTGACAGCTCACTTAGATGGCTGCTTGTTTGGAAACAAACCTTTAAGAGAACCCATATGCTTTTTTACCTGACAGCCGAGCACCATCTAATTTCTTCACCAATCTTTGTTATAGCACCCGTATCTTCTGTGCTTCCTTCCTGAGAGCAACCGGGCAGGGCCATAGAAATACTACACTATACTATACTATTACTATACTATTATGATTCTAAGTCTAATGGCTGGGTACAAATTTGAGTGACGTCTCATTATATTGCTAACCTTATTTCTAGAATCTCTGCCTTTAATTTTGTCTATTAAATCTCTCTACAAGGATGATACACAATGTGTCCCCATAACTTTCCTTTCCACTCCTCTTCCTATATGGGCTAACACTTCTCAAGTCACTGAGCCAAAAATCTTGCTATCATTTGACTCCCTTACTAGCACTCATCTCCTGTCTACACTTTTACTTATTCATTCATTCATTCATTTACTCATCAACACTTGATGAGTACATATTACATATCAAATGAAGCTGTTAGAAATAAAAGTCAATAAAAATATGAGGCAGTTTTGGGTGGGAAACAGATGGCTAACTCCACCAGAGTGTCGCTGTTCTTCATCACTTTCTTCAAAATGAACACATGACCTTGTCTTATTAGAACCATGAACCAAAGCATCCTGGAAAGCACCTGTCACACACCCGTTCTGAAGGAAAATATTCTGTGAGATGCCTTCCACATAAACACTAGTCACCCTGCTATTCCTAATAGCTTGTGTTCAGTTCCTGGATCTGCCTTAAATTCATAACCTAAACTCTCTGGATTACAGTTTCCACATCGGTACAGCTGATACTATATTATTAACCCTGTTATTTTGAAGGTCAAATAGATAATATATATTCACTCTATGTATCAGCAACATTATAAATGCTTTGTGTATATTTGTATGACTTGTCAAACAGTCACAACCACTTTAGAAGAGAGGTACAATTATCATTTTAATTTTACAATGAGGAAACAAAACAGAGGCAAGTAGAGGTGAAGGAATTTATCTAAGGTCACACAACTGGTGGATAGCAGGCTATAGTTCAAAGTGAGGGGATATAACTCCTGAAGTTATGTTGTTAACTAGTTCCCTATATCCCCCTGATGAATATATTATGTACATCATGCAAAAGATGAATTATAAAGTATTCAGGAGACCCTGGTACAGAATAGAAGGTCAATAAAATCTCCTTCCTCACATATATTTATAACATACTTGCCAAGCTGACATAAGAAGCAACAGTTGCTATCCCTGAAAGTTCCATTTGTAAAGAGTTTTATAAACTAAAAAATGTGATCAATTTTCTGACCAGTAATCAGCAGTCATGGAAAAGCTGAAGGTAAAATAGCGTCAAATGCCTCATTAACACTGACAAGCAGACATAGGTGCAGTCTCACTGTGACTAGAACACACTCTCCTACCAAAGAGGGCAACCACCGTGCTTTACTCCAGTTCACTTCAAAGTCTCTTGAACCCTGGAGAGGAGAATGACAGGAATGTGCAGAATCTATTACTGCATTAATCTCGATACAACTGAAAGAACCACAAGGGTAGAACAGACATAATAGAATGGGAGACAGTACCAATGAAATCATTTATAAGATTCCTTTCAAAAGTCCTCTGTCAACAGTGTTGTTGCCACTGACACGCCCTTGGTATTTACTGTCCTAATATGCTATTAAGCGCCTGATTCTGAGCAAACTAGACCTAGTGTTCTAGAAGTTCAGTCATTAAATAAGGGCATTCCGATATGCAGGTCCCAAACAAAATACTATAAGTGATATGTAATCAGAAATTGTGGTACATGAAGAAAGAAAAATGCCAAGTCCCAAGTGACATCAGGTGGTGGCCTAATCTAACCTAAATGGTAAGCAAAGTTGAGAAGTGGCATTTAATTTGTGGTTTAAAGAACAAGGAGTTAGCCAGGCAAAAGAAAAAGCGCAAAGACCCTGAAGCAGAGAACTAAGAGAGACTGGAGTTTCTGAAATATTGGGAATGAAGAATACTATAGTGATAAATGAGGCTGACGAATCAGAAGAGACAAAATACTAAGAATTTGGGATTTAAACATAAGTGGAATGGGAAAGCAATTCTCTGGCTGCTTAATTTAAGGATTAAAGGTAACCAAGATGATAATAAGCAAGCAGACCGATGGGAAGGATGCTGTGGAAGTCC